ATATATATATATATATATATATATATATATATATATATAATTATTACTACAATGCACTTAGAGGAGTGCCGACAAAAAATTTTGACGGCGAGATAATGAGTGAGATCTATTTGTCTAGAAACACATACAACATCTACGAAATGTTAAGGGCAAATATAGCCTAAAATATGTTCAAAATTAATCCTAAAGTGCGTGCCACATGGCTGAAGGTGTGGAGACCCTTGCAACAACACCAAAGCGTTCAAAGCCCACGTCACAATATTGCATTGGACCCCTGACAGTGGTATAGTGGCTAAGGCATTCGGCGACTGGGTCGCAGTATAGAATCCCGGCCGCGGTGAGTGCATTATTGATGGAGGTGAAAATGCTTGAGGCCCGTGTACGTACACTCAGGCGCATGTTAAAGAACACCAGGTAGTCGAAATTTCCGGAGCCCTCCACTACAGCATCTCTCGTAATCATACGGTGGTTTTGAGATGTGAAACACCAACAATTATCATTTATATTAAGTTTGTGTTGGCTGGTTGTTGGCACAAGCCTTCCATTCATGCTACCTGCACTTTCCTCCTCCGTGCCTGTGGCTTCACATGTGATTGTTATTAGTGCGGCACCCGCTAGCGCCTACTCTTGCATGTGTGGCTACGTCACAGTTTTGTGAGGTCACGTGGTAAGCTGTGTTTACCTTGGTACCGGAGCTGCCCCTGCCCGGCTCGGTGCTCTTTGAAACCGAAACTGGGCGTACTAAAAGATTTTCTAAATAAGTAGTCATCGCACACTCGTGCCAAAGAGGTTTCCAGCTGTGATAAGTGGGTCATAAGCTACTTATTAAAAAAAAAAAAGCAAAATTTTTGTGTCAGCTCTCTAAAACAGTGAAGGTAATTTCTCCTGTACCTTCCTTGCCTTCAATGAGTGTTGTTTTTATTAGGGTACTTGTCATAAGTATTCTACAAGAGCTTTAAACTGTTAATGTTGTTCTCACAGATGTTCCTTTCTTTGCAACACTTTTGTAAAGTGTTGTCAGCATCCAAGTAAGTTCATATAGCCTGACACCAGGTGCAATTCCGCCATGTGAGATTACATCTGTTAACAAGACAACTTGGTTGTGATAACTGTATAGAAGATATTCACATAAAGTCATCCACAAGAAGCACTAGTGCCACAGCCACCGTAATTGTGGTCACGTGCAGTTGTCATCTTAATACCACAACCAAGGTTCTTGGCCTGAGCACATTATTTTGAGTTTTGTTGCCTCATCATTTAACAAGACATTAAAGTTTCATACGTCAGATCACTGAACGACGGATATTTTGGCCAGATCTGGGCACTCACTGGTCCCACTTGGTAGATGAGCTCAGTGAATACTCTATAGGATCTTGCAGCACATTTCAAGCACTGAAGTGGCTCTGTAGCAGAATGCTCGAGTGCCAGGGTTCGATTTTGGCTTCAACCCTGCCCATTCTCATTTCTTATTATTTTTATTAACCTCACCAAGGTCAAATGGATTTTCATTGCAAACATTTTTCAAGGCAAACCTTATGTGTCACAAGGGGCGCTTAAAGAGGCCCTCCAACACTTTTGAAGCACCTATTTTTTGTATGTGTTTTACATAAACCGTTGGCCGGGGATAATTTTAGCATAGGTCCAAGCACCCATATAAAATCATTTAGTATTTTAATCGTGCAATAATGTCACCTCATTGCTGCCGACTGCGTCGGCGCACAGTGGCACTCGCTAGAGCTACACGGGGCGGAAATGACGACGATGAGCGCAGCCTATCACAGGACGCGTAAAGCCTCGCTTCGAACCAAAGGGCCTACTTGAGTTCTGACAAGTCGGGGAGGCTCATTTCAACCAGCCTCACCCAGCTGTTCGATGGAGTAAACAAAACGGCGTGGTCATGACACCATGTTGCCTGTTGCTACAACAACGTCATAAACACATTTGACTGAACAGGCAACAATGGTGTACGAGCTTCCTCTACGTAAGATCTTTCAACCCATGTCATTGGAGGCCCCCTGCAACGTCACAGCAGAGAGTGAAATGTGGTCATGTCACCCCGCGATATTCGAGTTGAGGGTAGGCATTTTTTTCTTGTATTTTGAATTTTTTAAAATTGAATAACTTTGTACTGCATGCCGCTCTCACTGCCGTTCTTGCTGCACTAATTTGTCTGTGCGTCAGTCTATGCAGTCCACGAGTAAAAAAATGAGGTGTTGGAAAGTGTTAGAGGACCCCTTTAAGGCTTTCATCTAAATAAACACATAATTCAAGCAACTGTCAGTGCAGCCATAAGCCAGGCACAACACATTAGCCCACGGCTTCACCACAGTCAATTAGTGAGCAGGTTTAACAGGCTGCACTTATAGATGGCATACTTTGATGTCACTGAAACCGCCGTGTTGAGACAGAAGTATGTGAAGACACATTACTTGCATTTCACATAAAAGTGGTTATGAAACGTTTTCAGAAAAGCTTTAACTGCTTATGTATTCAGAATCGTGGCTGTCCATTCACAACTATACCTCGACTAAGTTCATTTAATTGTTACATTCAATTCCCAGCTCACGTTGCTTTAGGTCGGCCAATGAAAAGTCTGTCATCGACAAAACACGGCGACTCAGTGACGTTTGCCGAGCCATAGTTGACGGAGGTTCGTGGCATCACATTGTCTCGATTGCAGCGCCACAAAGTAGTCACGAACGTTGTTTCCACTTTGATAAGTTGTGCGGTACTGTATGACGACACATGCGGTATGCATACTGAGGGCGAAGCCACCCAAAACACGCCACAGAACGCAACCAGCACGGAAAAAACTCAGACGCGGCACAAAGCGAGCGAAGGCAACACGTGACAGAGCATGGACGTACTTGAAAGCAGAACTAAGCAGATCACTCGCTGCACTTCCATGGTATACACAGCTGAGAGCACGAGAACTGCTGTTATTTTTTTTGTATATTTCCTAGGTTCTTAAAGAATCTATCATTTCAGAACAAACGAAAGCTACTGCTGTGTTTATAATTTCTCTTACCATGACGTTTCACTGACATCACATGTTAAGAGTCTATGGTGGTAGGCAAAGCCCCGTGGACGTTTAGGAGACCGAAAAATTCAGAGGTGCGTGATTAATTATAGAGAAATGATTTGGAATCTGCATGTCTCATCTCTATTGAAGCAGGGTAATTTACCGCCGGGCACCTTCATTTTCGCTTCACGACCATTTTAGTGCCATCAAAACATCCCATGCAGGTTCTGTAGTTGGGCATGCAGACGTTCCGGCCACATCCTCTTCACAGTGACGCCACTCGTTCGCTATTAAAGGCTCAATCGTGGAGTGTCAATACATTCAGAAGCTGCATCTATTATGTCGCGGGCGAGCTATCTATTGGCTGACACCCTAACCACAATGAAACGTTTCCTATTAATTTTAGACCTAATGCTAGACACTTCGTTTCCAAATATGGGTTTGGTTAGGTTACACTGTATACAATTACGTGCATCAGCTGCTCGTGTTTCCCCACTTAAATCAAGCGAGGCATCTCTAGAAATGTTTCCAACTCAGTGGCACCAAAACTACGCAGCTGAACAAGGAGTACCGCCTGTAGTGAGAATAATGTTCGTCGGCAAATTTACGCTTACCATAACTGGTTCAGCTTCAAAAAATGATTACGCATTCGTCTACGATGACAGTGAAACGGAATTATGCGATATCGGCACGAAATTCCAACGTGGTGAAGCACGTTGGCCGGCACACATGCACGACAATGCAGCTGCTTTCCTACCTATGCATATTTAGCGGAACAAAACTATGAAGTAGTTTCTTACCTTACGAAGGCCGTTGCCGCCGACCTGCCCATAAATTCGGCGTGCCTCGCTCAGGAAGTACGGTAGCAATTCATCGTCCAGAAGGAAACCTGCAAGGTAGGTACAACGTTAACTAGCAAGAATCGGCGAGGAGCAGTAGCAATGAATAATCACTTTTAACAAACTGCGTGAAAGGGATGGACATAGCTTAGCGTAGGCGATGAGACTCGGAGGGCTGACATCAGCGGTCGTCGTTCACAGTTGCTTTAATATTTTAGCCGACAGAAACACGTAACACATTGCCACAACAGCGCGAAATTTCACCACTCGCATGGTGGAAGGAAAAGGAACCTACTCGTCCGTGACCGCCATACAACCATTTCCCGCGCGGCGTCCTCAAAAAGCCGGGACTCTGAGCTCGAGGTTAGATGCTTTCAAAAAAAAAAAAATAAATAAAGAGGATAAAAAGCAAACGCTTCCTCCGTGCAACGCAACGTCACTTTCGGCAAAAACATTAGGTTCGTTCGATTCACCTGCACCAATCGGAATCGGTTCACGGCTGTGCACACGAAGTTCAGAAATTGTGCAGCGCCAGTTCAGCGATGCAGGCACAGCACGACACCGAAGCGAATGATAATGTGCCGACAATGTGCAGGGCTTATTTCTGCTCGCTTAATATACATGTTCAGCTAACACTTATCGATGGTGAACTGCACATGCGGACAGTTTATGAGGCGCAAGAACCTTGGCAAAACCCCCACGTTAGTAGAGGCGGGTGCGGCCTGCGTCGTCTGCTCAGCTGCACGTGCGGCTGCATTAAGCCAGCACCATTGGCGTAGGAGATGAAGAAAAATCATGAACCAGTGCTGCACCTCTTCTGCACCTTTAGAAACAAATGACAAGGTTCAGAGCTTTTCAGTGATGCACCGTTGAAACGAATGGCAAGGTGCAGCACCTCATGAACTGGTTGACGTAGTGCAGGCGAATCGAACGAATCCATTCTTTTCTGTTTTTTGTTTTTTTAATCTTGCGCATGCGCAGAGATTACGAAGCACTTGGATTCGCCGTTCACGTTTGCATCCACGCTTGCTCCGGCGAGGCCGGCGAACCTTTTTTGTTTGGACCAATCCCGTTGCAGGATTTTAAAATTGTCGTACAGAGGGAGCAGTTGTCTAAAGCAAACCGCTCTCGGTCTGGATGTGGCGTTCCACAACTGGAGTGGTATTAACAGCGCTTGCTGTGTGCGGGTAATTCTGCGTCGTGCATTTCCCCGAGCTGTGCGGCGGACACTTCGAGCACTTTTTCATCATGTCTACACCGTGGTCGACACCTTAACAGAATACCAAATGGCGTGACGTGCCAAGAGAACTTAACGTGTCATGCGTGGTCAACGGTTCATGTGTAAGAGGCCAAATTTTTGTGTAGGATTACCGTCCGATTTCCGGGACTAACGACGATGGCCAAAGCTACAAAGCGAGCATGGAAACTTCGTAAGTCATCTTTTGTTAACTCTACGTCTTAAGCAAAATGCAAGCTTTGCCTGCTAGTGCAGCATATTTGACGAAATATTTTGTAAATATGCGACGGTACCATTCATTGATTTGGTGTGCTCGAAGGGATCGGTGACCATCGCTCACTGCATACGTATTATTACGTTTCTGTCGTTATGATGCGTAACGGCACTTTTTTTTTTAGAAGCACCAGTTACGTGAAATGTTTTTAAATACTCGCGAATGTGATTCAGCGCCGTAACTCGCTAGGTCTTTGCGCCTGCTGAAATCCCCCCCAAAAAAGACTTTGCGATCTAGTGCGTGCGTGCTGCATTTGTTATACCTGAGAGATGACCGTTGCGCAGGACAACTGCTTTAGTGGGTAGTTCGTAATGCAACGAGAGCACGAACTTCGTTTGATGCCGCGTTTAACTGCGGTACGTGCTTCCGTTGGAATTTGTAGTTTTGGTGCAGGAATTATAAATTTCCGCGCTTAGAGACAAATGTGATAATCTGAATATTAAAGCCGGACAGAAGCTTTGTGGGTGGGCAGATCGCTTTCTCTGAGAAAATTGTTTGGACTTGTGACAGAAATAAAGTAACAAGAAGTAGCGCGGTTGCACTGCAGGCGTCTTTCGCTTTCCCCCCGCACATTTTATGGACGGAGAGTGATTATCACTTTGCACTGATTAGTGGTTAATCCCTCTTTTGTCTAATCACAAACATGGGGCTTAGTTTGAAGGAAGTGCTCCTTAGGCGTACGATTTCCGACTTTTGCCTGAAATCGAAGGTATGGGCATTTTCGTTGCTCTGCTGGCTCATGAGCTCTAGTTCTGAAGGCGTAAAATGCTCGAAGGAAAACATTGAACTGGTGCTTACTGATCAGTAATGTTCATGTACCAGGTGAATCCACATGCCCACCTTATGATTTTGATGCTTGGGAAGGCATGTACCTGTTGGGTGTGTTAGTGCACCGCATTATTCGTTCGTTTGCATGAAGACAGCACTAACTAAAACGTGCTAGGTATTCATAATTTCCGCCAAATTGCCTGCCGTGCGGGCTCCGATATATCTGACAACAGAAGTACAACGCTCACTTGAGCTAGTCTAGCTGAGTGCCGATCGAGCACGACGAAGGGTGCTTGAAAATGACTGCAATCAAGGTGCGTTGGTGTCGTCCTTGAGCGCCTCAATGCATAACTCACTTCAGTGCGGTCGTGAGTTGCCGCCGCCTGGAACATTGGTTGCGCTCTGGTTGTGGCTTGCACGTTGTATTTGGTCGGTTACCAACAGTGACCACTGCAGCGGTGTCGCTTTCCTCGTGCAAGTTTAATCGCTCTCTTCCCTGTAGCGCATGCATGCCGGCCTTGTCGTTTGTATAGTTCATATTGCGCTTGTTCAGGGGCATTTTCCCGGGGCAAGGGGGCAGCAGGGTATGTTTGTGCACGTGTTTGTATCTGCGTGCCAAACTCAAATTTGAATATCTGGACCCCCCCCCCCCCCCTGGCTACTACACCAGTGGACTTGCGCCGCAATTAGCTCTCCTGCGCGTGATTTCGCCGTTAATCGTTTGTGTCGCGTTTCGCAATCTTGGTAGCGGAAGTATACCTATCAGTTGCGAAATTGGCCATCTTTCCATTATCGGTTCGTCCTTGTCGAGCGAGCTACAGCCTGGTTTTTATGCTGCATTCATAATCGGCTGGACAGAATATTTTGCTTCTTGGGTTTTCATTGGAATCTTAGCGGGAAGTGTACGGCGTGCTTAATCGGCATGCGGTGCCTTCATATTTTGCCCGGCGACGATCTGTTGCGAACTCGAGCAGAAGGTGCGGACTAATTCGAGAGTACTCGGAATGTGTCAGTTCGGGCAGCACTTACCGGATAAATTCCTCGCGCTCTTTTTTTCCTTTTTGTTGCAGTCATTCAGACTTAAGGGTTTAAGCTAATGGAATCCAGTATCTCGTTCAGTCTTTTAGCGATCATCGTTCGCAAAATAGCTTTAGTAAAGAAGCGCAATGATTAAAAAATATAAAAAATTGCCTGAGTTCTGGTTGGCGAATGCACACCGAGTTTACAGGGTTCCACGGGGTGAGTTAAGGCTGTCTTTTACAAGCTAAAGATCGCACATTTGCATTGTGAGTGAACAAATGGAATTCGCTCTTTGCGTTGAACCCATCTGCAAATTTATTACTATAGGACAGCCAACCGTATAAGCACGCTCACGAACAAGCGCACACGCAATTCAAATATTTTAACTAAAAAAAAAAAACGTTGGTGGTAAAGTAAGTTAGTCAACAGAACCATTATGCAGTCTGTACTGCAATTTAATACGTATGTGTGCGATGATCGGTCATTAGGCATCAGCATGATTGCTAGCTGTGTACGGCAACCTACAGAAATGTTTACTTGTCTTGTGATGAAGTATATTGAGTCGATTGTGTGCTGAATAAACACTTACCTGGGGAACCGTGATTCGATTTGTTTTTTTGCTGCATTGAACCGGTTGAATCTTGATACACCAAAGTATCTGGGGTCTATACGTGCGAAAATGTGTGACGCTTGTCATAGTGGGAAAGACTCGCGAATTTCGACCATCTGGTGTTCTTTGACGTGCACCGACATCGCACAGTACTCGGACCTTCAGTGCTTTGCCGCCATCAAAATGGCGACATCCGGGATCGAACCCTCGACTTTCGGGTCAGCAGCCGATGCATATTCAGTGCGCGTACATTTTCACCAATGTCCGGGAACGCAGCAGGCCTTTTATTGTTCCCGTGCTGGACTAGAGTGTTGTCAGGCTCGCAGAGCGCATGTTGCTCTGACCCGTTTGGGACCTCGGATAACTGAATGCGCCACGCTTGCAGTGATTCAAGGTTTCGTGATTCTATCAATAAAATTGGTGACCTCTGGATGGTGGCGAATTTTAGGCGATTTCCGACTTACATTCTATGCTCATTGTATAATGCCCAACTAATGAGTGGCAGTTTTTCTGTTTTGTACTCACTAGCAGGAGGCGCACCGAGGCGGTGGTGTTAGACTAAGTGCTTTAGGTGTTTTAAGCTTCTCTGAAGTTTCGCTTCTGCAGTGACGACGGGCAGGCAGCGTGTTCTGACCACAGCTCCAACGCTTGTCGACTTCGTCACTGCTGCAGCTCCCTTTAATTCGATATTTAGTGTTTGTTATTAAAATACTTTTGGAGCAGACCAAGGAGTCTGCTTCTTTTGGCAGCCTTGAGAAACTGCACCTACGCGAATGTGTAGCTTGACTATAGTGGCTAGAAAGCTATAGCTTGACCGCACAGAAAGCGTGGTGTGGTCATTGCGAAGGTTATACACTTCTGTTCTTTTGTTATTAACGACTATGACACGTATGATTGCAATGAAACTTGAATCTATCTGAAGTAAGCCCTCTCTTGTGTAGCGACTGCTTCACTCTGTATTCGCTTCAAATGAAACCGATTCCGCCACAAGCTATTGGTATGAGGCATTCCGCGATGCTACTGGTGTATGCGCTTTCTCAACGCACATTACCCCGCCGTGGTGGTATAGTGGCTAAGGTACTCGGCTGCTGACCCGCCTGTCGCGGGATCGAATCCCGGCTGCATTTCCGATGGAGCCGGAAATAATGTAGGCCCGTGTGCTCGGATTTGGGCGTAAAACCCATGGAGAATACTCAGGTGATGCACCGATATGCAAGGAATATATCGCTAGAAAATCTGTAGCTGGGTCTGTCGGTGCATACTAGAAGGGGAAAAAAAAACAGCTTGAAAGTGCATGCACAAGAAGGTGACGTATTGTGCACTCGTCTCTAAACTGTTTTTTTTTTGTTTCTTCATACAAGGAATGTTCATCGTTTTTTGCATTTCTACATTGTACTAAACACAGTACACAGCAACGTGACTGATGCTTGGGTGGCTTTTCTCCTCTGCTGGGACGCACAGTACGTGGCATTTGACAATATGTATTGCTACATCTCCACGTGGTTGGCAGGCCAATGTGCGAGTCGTTGAACCATACTGCCTGCGCATTGCGGCGCCATAGTTGCAGTGCGAACGCGCGCAGGAGAGGTGAGAGCGCAGCCTTTGGTGCTGCTACGTGAGTGCAGCGCTCACACACTTGTTTGTTGCTTCATGAAAAATCGGGTAAATATTTAGAGATGCTGCAAGCAATTTGTAATGAAAGACGAAATTGCGCGCGTGCGTTTGTGTGTGTGTGTGTGAGAGAGAGAGAGAGAGAGAGAGAATGCGGCGGCTGCATTTTCGCTGGAGGCGAAAAGGCTTTAGGCCCGTGTTTGGTTGCACGTTTAAGTACCCTAGCTGGTCGAAATTTCTGGAACCCTCGCCGTCGTCGTTCATAATCATATGGTAGTTTGGAGAAGTTAAACTCCACATATCAATCAAATCAGAGAGCGAAAGAGAGAAGAACACTTTTTGTCGCTGTTAACAAAAGTAAGGGGACAGGGTGCGAAAACAATAAATGTAACTGTTTCATGAAATGGTGCACATTTGTGGCAATAACGCTTTGACTTAATCGGTATCTTTCTTGAAAGTATAAAGCATTGTAATTATTCATTCTAATAGTACAGGAAGGATGTTTGTAGTTGTAACGTCGCGTCTGATTTTTGTAGGGTGTTTTGATGGGAGATGTGACCATTATGGGAAGTGTTGCGAGTCGCCCAAAATGTATGGGACTCATTGTTGTATGAGTGGACTTGGTCAAGGTGGAAGGCTCACTAGTGCTTTATCACTATATTCTGTACCTGGATATTATATGTTGGTTAATTGATATTAGAACCAAGATGAGTGGCGCGAAGGGCCATATTGTCTACAAATATGTGAGCAAGTTGGATTTTAAAAAATGGGGGACCCTTAAGCTCCGCTTTTAATAGTTGAACGTGATAGCGGTATCCTGTCCCTCAACTAGTTAGTGCACACTTTTCATTGTGTATTACTCGAGATGCTTAAGTTGTGGGACTCTCCTATTCAGGCGGGAGAGACACTC